TGAACTCGAATTAGGAACTCACATATTGCTGCTTCAACTATATACTAATCGGAACAGTTCATATTCAGTTCCTGATCCATTTGAAAAATTTACCAGATACCCTTAGGTATTCTGTCTCATTTCATAATTTTGGATCATCAGTTATAATGGGTAGTGTGAAACTTCCTTTTATACCATCCAAGGTAACGACAAATAAATGTTTGCAGACAGCTAACATGAATGAATTTATACTTTTCATTGTATTAAATGTTTAACACTATAATTTTGAACCGGGTTTTCTTTTGCACTGTTGTTTGTCAGGGTGTACAATAATATTTTTAAGATCGATCCTTCAGAGTAACGTTGAATCCCTGAAGCCTTTCAAAATCAATCCATTTCCTCTTTAGTTTGGCAAAATAGCACGTGAGCACACCTGTAAGTATAATACTGGTTGGAGAGGTAAAACCAGTAAGGAATATTCTTCTAGAAAGGCCATTGTAAATATTTGTAAAGCGTTGTATTCTTCACGTTCATTCCTATTACTGGTTGTTTTTCGTATTGTGGTTATGCGAGGTGTAGCACTTTGAACCGATTTATGTATAAATTGCATGTATTAATTCAGCATGTAGGCTGACATTTGCTGTTAAATGGAGCAGAAGTAGGTTGGAAGTAGTGGGGCAGATAAGCACACAGTACCACTGCCTAAATACATTAACTTTACGTTTGAAACCGTAGGCTAATTAATTGAAAGAAGCCATTGGTATCTAGGGGAACAGTTGTTCAAGATCCTATATGGCGCTGTACTGCTGCAAACTGTTGTAACTTGAACTAATGCACTTTTTTGCAAGATGTAGCGTTCTCAAGCAGCCATCTATCAGCCCTGTTGTTGGACAGACGCCAGCTTTTTTGAACAAATCTAAAGTTAATGGTTGTTTATGTTTATAATGGAAATATGGATCACATTTTTTCTACATGTGGACATTCATCACAAACGTACTATCACACTGCACACACTAGCTATTCATGGAACACTAGAGAAGGTTAAAATAAGGCGGTTTTGAAGATGCTAGCAAATCATAGGTGAGTTTAATTTAGCGATTGTTAGTGATGTGTTAGTTTACTAGGGTAAGAGTTATATGTGTATCATTGAGTAATGACTAGTGATATAAAGTGTTTCAAACCTCTGTAAGTAGGGCAGATTTCAGTCTTGTAGTACACTGATCGGAACTACGAACTTTTTCAAGAACGTGTGTATAGAACAAAGAGATGATAAGAGAAATTATCTGTGTCGACAATACATTAACTTTGTGCAATTATCGACATGAAAAGGTGGAACCAGTATTTCCACTTCTTCTGAAACTGTCTAATGACGTGTTAACTATGCATGTTTGCACACGTTTTACTTTGACCCTACAGGTAAATTACTACTTTCTATTTTATTCTAAGTTTTTTTCAAATCATCAATGTCACAATAAACATAAGAAATGAAAACGGTGTTATCTTTATAGAATTCGTAATCTTTTTCTCTTACTCTCGCTTTTTTGTGTGATTTGACCTGATGGGAGTCCACAAATATCCACAGGTTTGGCTGATTAGTTAATCAGTCGATTTTAATCCAAAGGCTCAAGACTACAAGCTTTATTTCACAAATTTAGGTTAATGCATACGCGTAATACTTCTGTAGAAAACAACAAGATGGAGACAAAGGAATATTTAATATTGACATCTTGTATGGTAGTCGTCAAATATTGTACACCTTTCGCTAAGACAGTCATTTGCATAATGTGCTTCATTTCCTCTTCTGCTTCTATCTTGATTTGTTCTTATTACGTCGACAATGGCCCTTGCATTTCTCTGGGCAGAATCTTTACCTACTGCTGGTAATTCCTAGGATTTTTGTCGCCCTCTCAACATATACCACTTATATCCATCAGCAGTGCCCACTACACTGCTAAGCCTCATACATTATGTGTAGCGTAGCATAACCGTATGCATATCATCCATGGTTTGCGTTTTTCTCCCTTGTTATAAATTTTTGATTTACTGAGCTTTTGCCAGAATGTTCTCGTATTAAAAAGATTTGATTTTTAGCATGTACTGTTTTCCCGAAATGTGAATGCAGTATAGAGTCAAAATACGTTTGTTAAAATGCTTGTATATGAGAATTATTTTCCACTGATTTTATATGACTGAAATAATACAATATTTGTGTCTTGCCACCAACTGTTCATATTTATATGAATATGAACAATAAATTATGTCCAAAAGGTTATCAAGTAAATAATACTGTTTCACTGTGTGACATTCCTAATAAACAGACTATAATAGGTCTCATATTTATATCAGTCTTAACAGTGGAACTGTACGAACGCATTGAGCTATTTCTAAGTGCACTTCAATTAAACAATAGACAAAAGGTAGTTAAATTGAGTTACAAATATTAAGACAAATGCGAAGTGATTCACAAACTTATACACTTTGTCTTTTGACTAACTTCTTTAAAAGATAACATTTTAGCTATGAGTTTATATGGTCGTATTCAGTTCATCTCATTCTAATTTTTGACTCACGCCTTGAAGTAATGGAAATCTATCCTGCTTTTGTTGGTGTAATGAATAAACCAACTATTTTACCAGCGCACTGATATCCTATAATTGTTGTCAGTAATCATTTAGCTCATAGATATTCCATAATATAGCCTTCATATGATTCTTTCATCAGTGAATAACATTGCCTACAGATGCTTTTTGCCTCAAAGAAAATGAACAATCACTGATCAATTCAGAGTAAAGTTTGAGTTCATGGGAGAATCTCACACTTTTATAGTTCTGAAACTATAATTGAAATAAGGGTTTGACTTGAAGAGTCGATTTAATCTCCTTTAATTCTTCCAAAAGTTAATAAAAGTTTTTCCACTGCTTTATTTTTTTTGAATTTTACAGTGTACCGATTTCTTGTGATTATGAATATTCATGAACTCTGCAGATAATTGTGTTCCCATTTCTTTTTTTACTGTTGTTTAAGACTCTATGAATCTCTTACTGAAAATTCATCATGTTGGATACTTAGAAGTGATATGAAGATATGGAATTGTGGCAGTGTGCTTGGCCATTTTCAAAAGTCAGTCCAAGAGGATTATATCATCGGTGTGAATTATGACAAGGGCAAATTAAAGTTAACGGTTAATGGTGAACCAGGTGAAATTTATTCTGAACAGACAAGGCAAAGATTGCTGTGCATTGATGGTATATCTAGTATAGTGTATCCTGTCCTAGGTGTACGTGATGATACAGTGTTGGATGTGGTGTTTACAGCGAACTTATTTAAACATCCGCCATGTATTATAGGTTTCGGTGAGATAGAGTTTCAAAAAGAGATAACTTTTAAACAGACTGTTATTTATCACTTGATTTCATGTCACTAGACAGATTACAATGAAATAACAAGTCATCTAAATTGTTTGCAAATTTCTCACATTCCTTTTATTGCTGTTCAGTTAAAAGCATACTTAAACCTTTCCAATTCATATGTGCGCACTGTGATCTTATTAAGAGGGCTATTCACTAAACTATAGAAACATATCAAACTGTGATAACTTTTTTAGTTAACTGAGTTCGACTGATAATGAGATATTTTTGTGTATTGCTACTTTCAAGTTTTCAATTATTTCTTCTCCTTTACATTAGTTCTACATATCTTCTCTATAAATTCCTAGGCAAAGAGAATAAAGATGATCATTTAAATGATCGATGATAAGAGTTATACATTTCCCATTGTTGGATTGTACTTATCGTTCTCACTAGTTGGAGAATCACCAGATTCTTTTTACATTGTTGCAGTCGCGAAATCATGATCTTATTACAGATTAATTACCCTTGGTGAAATAGGTCTGATGAGCACATTGGAGTGTATGATACCGTTGAATAGGAATAGAGAGAGTGGATATCCTTGACGAACACCAATCGAAGTACACAAATCAGCTGGTAACATTATTATAGGCACTGTCACGCTCATGGGCGCTAATCAACTAAACAGTATGATGACCTGAAGTATATATATGTACCGTAGACAAGTCAAATTGTTTCCACAATCGTGCTCGTCGCAGACCCTTTCTTTTCCGATACGATCTCATCAACCACTGATTTTTTTGCCCAAATTGCCTTGTTAAGTCTAAATAACTGCCTGCTGTTACCTATCGCCACTATCTGCCTTTCCCATCTCTTTAGCCTTCGCTACCAACCCCTTCCCTTGTTCACAGTCGTTGCGTAGACCTCTCGTCAGTTTACATGTGAAGCTGTGCTCTCAATCGTCATGCTGCTGTAGTTTATCGACTTCCTTTTTAGGTAGACAAGAAAACACCCAATTGGTTGTCAGTACATCCTGCCAGCTTATGCCTTGAGTGGTCATTACGTACAAGATCAAAAATTACGCACTGATTTGCAGTTGTTAATACTGAGGTATTAAAAGGTTCACTAGGTTATAAAGATGTTTAAACTATTACCAATCTAAAGCTCAGCAGTACGCGCATCGGGCACATGTGCTAATCTTTTGGGTGAAGGCTATTGATACGATAAAGTGTCGAGATGACAATAGGCAGAGGGAAGTTCAGACCTATGATTGAAGGTTAATCGCCTATTCTAACAAGTAATAGCACCACATGCAAGATGAATAATACGAGTGAAAAAGTTTAACCCAATCATTTAACATTATAGAGGATTTTTGAATAAACGTTAAATAAATCATAAGGCTTGTCCTAGAATAAGTAAGGATGTATTACAATTTTTTACAATAAAGTTGGTTGTTATTAGTTTCACAGTTATATTTGAGAAAGCGAACAAAATCATTCTTTATAACTACCCTACTGTACACACAATAGTGGTTTGTACACATAATCTAAGATGAAGAAAACTATGAAAGCACGGGGTTATAATGTTTCATCCAGTAATAATTGGTTCGCACAATCACAATATTTTAGTGTACGACTGAATTTACTTCCAATAAAAAATGGAAGGTCATAGTAATCAAACCCCATGAGAAATAGAACGTATGAAATTAGCAGGTACACCACGGAACAGTCTCAAAACATTAGGTTTATTAGACTCTTCATAAACCAATGATACAAAAGTTGAACGAAGTCCAATAAAGCATCCACCAACACTCGACTGCATTCGTGTTTTTACAACATTAAAAGGGAATGTAATTACACCAATAGTACCACCCAAAATACCACCAAGAGCGAAATTCCACAAACTACGTTCCATAGTATTCTCACTAGTGCGACGGATGCGAATTTCATTTAGCCATTTATGCCACAAAAGTACAGTCCATTGGCCACACCATTTCTATATAAGACAGGAATTAATCCTCTATAGAGCTCTTTAACACCGTGATCTGAAGTAACTGTCATCAATGCGTGGAAAGTATTCTTATAACGACCATGGTAATCTCTGTTTTGTAGTAGTGTTTGAACACGTTCGAAGGGCATCAATATAGCTTCGCACCAACCAGCAACAGTAGCAGAAGTAAACTTTTGTAAAACGGGTGGGTAACTGGAAGTTGCAGGATGATTCACTAACAATCGTTCCGTTGTACTTTGAACACCGAACATTAATGCTCCCGAAGAAGCCCGTTGAAGCAGCGGAGGCAAAACTCCTCTATAAGCCATACGAAGTCCTTCAATTCGATAACGAATTAATGCCTGGACCCAGGAAATGCCATCAAGTTGTTGGAAGAATACAGTTTTATACAAAGGGAAAAGAGCTACAACACTAACAGAATAAGCTGCCGCACCAAACAGAAATTCGTAAAATGGATGATCAACATTATGTACGCGATAATAAGAATCGGGGAGAGAAGTATCAGTTCCTTGTCGCATCCGCGGAAAATGAAGATCCAGCAAAAGATTTTTTTTTTGTATTTAGTAGAAATCTCATTGCACGCTTGTCTAAAAAAATTACCAGCTTTACAGAAAGGTGTCAAAAAGTAATCACATCAACAAAGTATTCACCAAAAATTTCATAGAACAATCAGTATGTAAATATGACAAACAATCTACAATGACAAACTGATATAAACAGCTTAGCTTGTTGCATATCGGTTCGAACCTACACGCTACACATCAACATAACGAGGTCAAATACAAAAGATGAAGAAAGCGGCGAAAAATGATATTGAAAATACTAACTTAACAAGTTAATTTGTAGAGTAGCAGGTAGAAGGATAAGATTTAGAGAGAGGTGTTGACTGACTTTAAGTTATATCTTAAAGCCACTTCCGTAATCCGGTGAACTTGAGCCAAGATGCCCCCATTTGTTGTATTACTTTATCAACACAGTTGAACACCACTCATTCCCCTACTTCTTTCTACGCAACTCAACCAGGTACATATCTTTGCTCTAGGCTATAGGTATCACGAATTTTGAGACGGTTTATAATAGTGCCAAAACGGAAAGTGAGCCCGAGGCATATTGTTTGAAAGTTGAATGCTTCAATTGCGGAGCCGCCTCCCCACAATTTATTTCGTATTTCAGAATGATGTAAGGCTTAAAGCATAGAACGTGAAGTTTGTTAAGGCTAAACCAATACTTTCCATCCAAACTTGTTACTGATAGCATTCTAAATGTAACTGAAATTTTCTAGATAGCACAGATCTGCCATCAGAGCTCTCTCTAATTTCACCCAGTTAACCAGTTCACTTGTTACTAGCCAGGCCGAAAACCAGGTAAACAGGGAAGTTTGCGCATAGGGCCAGCAACCCCACCCGTAAAACAAATCCAACCGCTACAGAAACTTCAAAGCACAGACAAAATATAAAAAATTAAAAAAAACTTAGTCCTCGCTGGAATCGGAGAGACAAAACGACGCTGCTTGGTTAAAGCCTTCAAGAAGCCAGTCGGCCGATGTGTCTCCTCTTCTCTCGATGAAAGCGAAAGTAAGAATAGGGACATCGAATGTCCGCACTATGTTTGAATCTGCCAATCAGGCTGCCCAGATTACAAAAGAGATGAGGAGGTATAGCATTGAAGTGCTAGGAATCTGTGAAAGCAGGTGGAATGGAAGTAGACTCTCCAAACTGTCAACTGGAGAGTCAATAATCTACTCCGATATTGTCACCCAGACGACAACCACCAGCACAGCACACTGAGTTTTCGAGTGGCTATCATGATTTCCCTTTCCCGAGAGCATCCAAGGCTCTCATGCAGTTGGGAACCAATCTCCTCCAGGATCATGATCATGACAGCAAGATTCAACTCGAAAGGAAGGAAAGTCACAATCATTCAATGCGATGCGCCAACAAATAATGCAGAAGAAGGAGGAATTCTATAGACAACTGTAATCAACACTGGACGAGACCCCACCCCAGTTGGCGATATCAAAATTTGGGAAGACTGATTCCAATCACTGATTGTCTCAGTCTCTAGAAAGGGAGAAATGTCGTCATGATAATCACAAGAGAATTGAGTAGATCAACATAATTCCTAAGACTATGTTTTTAAACCACTCGAGACTCAGATATCCAATATTTGGAGTATTTCTTGTTATTAAGGCTAAATTCCACTTCATTGTCTTAGTTTTCATGGTAGTAATAATCACACACATGTGTTAAGCTAAAGCAACACAAAAGATGATCGGGACACGTGCTTATAAGTACCGAGTTATAACCTGCTTTATTAGCCTTGGGATAGTCTAAACAAGGTCATAAAATTCGCGACTATTAGAACCAATCTTGTAAGCCTCTCAAGTTACTTCAAAGCATTATCAAAATCCATTGTTGAAAACTGTTTATTATAGCTGAAATTACTCACGATGGCATGGATACTACATCTTCCTTGAGGATGTATCACCTCATTTTTTAATTTCTAGCTCGATTTATATTACCTACCTCATTATTATTTGATACCACCGTCAACATTATTTGTGGCGTTTACCGTAACTTTTTTCCCTTTCTGCTTCTGAAAAGTACGTAACTCAGTGATATAAGGCGTTGCTAGCTCCTAAGGTACTTACAACAACCAAGTGATCTGTAACTTTTCAGTACCCCAGTTTCATTCCAAAACCCTGCTTTGGTAAGTGAAGAGATGCTGGTACGGCACTGAGTTCACAACTGTGGTTGAAACTAACCAGTTGAAATGTTTTTTGCAGTGCATTATTCAGTGTTGCAGACGTTTTAAAAGACGTTCAATCAGCATACCATTTGCTTCATAAACTGACAAAAAATATCTTGCTGCTAGTGCATTGGATGAGGTGTAATATCTCCTAGTTTCTTCGATTTTAGTTGCTATTTCCAGCATGCCTCACATTATGCCTACCATGACTTCCGATCACTGTAACTTTTTCCATTCCCAAGAAATTCTATCAGTGCAAACAATAGTGATCTAAACTCTACTACGGACTGTAATTAGATTTAATTTTGGCTCCAGTTAATACTCAGTTGTAAAAATAAATACAACCAATTTGCCAACATGCCAGTATACGGCGATGACTTAGCTGACCACCAGAACCATAGGTAAATACAGCAATTAAATAAACAAGGAAGTAAGGTATTTATTGTGGTCGGCTTGGATAGTAGCTAGATTTGTAAGCACTTAACAATAGTTATTGGTAAATACATCATAATTTTCTGTGGGGTTCGAAAGATGCCGCCTCGAAGTTTTAGTTGATCGGTCACGTTGATCAAGTAATACTATTCCAGCTAAAACAGTTTCCTGAATTCTTACAGTAACAGATGAAGCAGTGGTTCGCTAGTTGAAGCATCTAACTTTCGACAACTAGGTTGCACAGAGCGACTCCTACCCAACCATATTTCGCTAGATAGTTAGTAGTATCAAAACCTACTGAAGCTGTTATCTTGGTCTGCCCTCGAATGCTCTGGTATGCGTTCACAGCGTCTGCCAGAAAAGTCCTACTCACTTTTTTGACGTGGTGGGGGTCTTTTTAGATTTAAAAGGCCGTAAGCAGATGTCCAGAACTTAACACCGGGTTGCTGGATACTGACAGTTCACATAGGAGAGTTGGAAAACCCTGGTTTTAAACCAGTGGTGCTTATAAGCTCCAGGTTGCGGAAGGAACGAATGGCGTACGAACTTATTTTAGTCACCGCAACCATGGGAATGCAGTTACTGATGTTCTTCCACTGCCTTGTGGATTAGACTTGAAGTCAGAGGCTAGGGGAGTGGTCCTCTAAGACAACCCTCTGCTTAGGTCTGGGTGCCCTGGCAGCATCTTAGCCCTCACACAAGATATGAATTTACAACATAAAATGAAGATTTCGAGGTAATTAACCAACTTCTCTGAGAATACTCAAGCTCACCACACTACGAACCTTTTAATCGGTCACTCAATTTATTGCTATTATATTGTTTTTGTTGTAATCACTTTTGTTTTCATCTTCACTTTAATCAGCTGCTCTCTATCGCATAGACTTCTGGCCTATCTGTACCGTCTTGAGTTACAAAAAAGTTGCCTCATAAAGCTGTCCTACAGTGTGCATCAGACACAGCTATCCTGAAACAATACGTATAATCTGAGATCGCCACCTTCACCGTTCGCACCTTGAGGCAGATCGGACAGCTGGTAGGTTTGGCTAAGACTCTAGAAAGCTTCGCTCTTGATGTACGCTGCACCTAAGAGACCCGCATAAAAGATCCTAGTGAAGTGCTTTGAATTAGTTCCTTGTTTATCAGCTCGTAATGTCTCGTGGGCTTATTCGGGGACGCTGTGGTATCGGCAACCGCCCTCGCTGTCAGTTTCGCACTGAGCGCAACAGCCAAAGCTGCACTACCCGACTGTATCCCCATCAACAGTCGTCTGTGTGTTGTTAGGCTAGAAGGTTCAACTCGAGTAAGAAGTAAACAGTAAAAGAAACGATGCCTCTTTGTCATATCTGCCTGTAACACGACGGATTTCAGCCCAGATGCAACCGAGGATGAATTCTATCATCAACTGAGTGACCTTCTCAACCAAGTGCATTTGACAGATATCGTAGTGCTAGCTGGGGACTTGATGGGCAGTTCGGGGGTCTAGGCTTTGAGGAGAGTCGTTTATGTTGACAGTGGGACCAGCTGACCGCAGATCGGATAATGGGGATCGTCTCCTGCAACTTTGTGCAGATCACAACCTATCTCTAGCCAGCATAGAACTATCACCTCCTTTTGCCACTCAAGCCTGGACCCAAACAGGTCATTTTGCAACCATCTATCGATGGCGTGAAAGCACACATGACTCTTGATTCATATGGAGCACTCGTTTGGACATTGATCATGCTTTAGTGTGTGCTAAGCTCATCTTGGGTTTTGGTGATCATCAAAATCGTCGTCCTAAACAGGTCGATGCAAGCAAGTTAGTTGCATTTAACATTGCAGCTAACTACCAATTGGAGCTACATTTAAGGCTAGCTACCGATTCTCCTAAAAGTATAGATGAGCATTGGCTGCACTCGCAAGACGCCATAGAAGTGGCGAGTAACGCCACTTGGAAGAACGTCCCGCTAATAAACACTAGGTCTTTGGGATCTCCCTACAACTTCTTGACGCTCATCAAACCACTCCGGAGGATAGTGGGTAAAATAGTTCGCTTAAGTCTCTTACACGAAAGACTACACAACGTTTAAGCATCGACCGTGAGGCTTGGTGGTCAGAAAGTGCAAGTGAGACGGAAGTAGTGGCTGCATCTTATAACAGTCGGAAGCTGTTCCAGCTCATCCGAGCCAATGGCAGCAAGCAGCCTGTCAGTGAGATGGTCTGTGAGGTAAATGATATACCGATAAATAATCCTTAAAACGCCTGGAACGCTGAGCAGAGCACTTCAAAACGGTGTACGCAATGCGTGTGACAATCATCGGGGTTATGGTCTGTTAGTAATCCCGATCGAAAACAC